AGCAAAGAGAATACAATCAATTTGTTGAGAAGTCAAGAATGTTTCACGTCGCCGAGGCAGAGCCCGTTGTCTAGGACATGTCTGGGCTACCCGACCGCCCCTCGTCAGTTATAAGTGGGAGCTCGTCACGCCGAAGATCCGGGTTCGATTCCCGACATAGGTACAATGTGTGAAGCCCATTTCTGGTGTCCCCCGCCGTGAAGTTGCGTCCGTGATGTTCGTATTAGGGCTGGGACGGGGGGTAACTCAGGTTGGTACTGAGTAGGACCCGGGTACCCACAAGACTACCCGGACCCTCGGTTAGTCACGTGATTGTTTAATGACAAAATATCTAAAAGTCACTATTAATGTTCGCATTTCTTTCTGACTATGCACCCATTCCTTCTTATTTTTCATATGGTTAAATAAAGGTATAACTTCTTTCAACTTCAGTGTATGAATGACCAGATTGTTTAATACGTGTATCTAAATACGTTTTTTTGGCAGGGCTATGCTAAAAATGTTCCCAATCAGACATTTTGAGATATCTCCTGAGACCTACAGTGGGTACCCGAGTAGTAAATTTGGACTCATTCTGTTTTATTCACTAACTTTGTATTTCAAATAATACTGCACCTGATGTTTGATTGTAATGTCTGTAATATTATTTAGAAAGCTGATTATATTGGCACTATGACCTGTTTGGCAATCATATTTCTTCATGTAAAAGGGGAAGTCGTTTGAGCCTACTACACCGGTACAAAATATGCCTAATGATATGAGAATATCATTATTGATCAGGAGGGTTTTGTAAAAAAGACACCCTGCTTCGCAGAAACTCACATGTCCCGATCAGAAGGAAAGTGTACCAAACACACCCTGCTTCGCAGAAACTCACATGTCCCAATCAGAAGGAAAGTGTACCAAACTCACCCTGCTTCGCAGAAACTCACATGTCCCAATCAGAAGGAAAGTGTACCAAACTCACCCTGCTTCGCAGAAACTCACATGTCCCAATCAGAAGGAAAGTGTACCAAACTCACCCTGCTTCGCAGAAACTCACATGTCCCGATCAGGAGGAAAGTGTACCAAACACACCCTGCTTCGCAGAAACTCACACGTCCCGATCAGAAGGAAAGTGTACCAAACACACCCTGCTTCGCAGAAACTCACATGTCCCGATCAGGAGGAAAGTGTACCAAACACACCCTGCTTCGCAGAAACTCACACGTCCCGATCAGAAGGAAAGTGTACCAAACTCACCCTGCTTCGCAGAAACACATGTCCCGATCAGGAGGAAAGTGTACCAAACACACCCTGCTTCGAAGAAACACACGTCCCAATCAGGAGGAAAGTGTACCAAACACACCCTGCTTCGCAGAAACTCACGTCCCGATCAGGAGGAAAGTGTACCAAACACCCTGCTTCGCAGAAACACACGTCCCGATCAAGAGGAAAGTGTACCAAACACACCCTGCTTCGCAGAAACTCACATGTCCCGATCAGAAGGAAAGTGTACCAAACACACCCTGCTTCGCAGAAACTCACATGTCCCAATCAGAAGGAAAGTGTACCAAACTCACCCTGCTTCGCAGAAACTCACATGTCCCAATCAGAAGGAAAGTGTACCAAACTCACCCTGCTTCGCAGAAACTCACATGTCCCAATCAGAAGGAAAGTGTACCAAACTCACCCTGCTTCGCAGAAACTCACATGTCCCGATCAGGAGGAAAGTGTACCAAACACACCCTGCTTCGCAGAAACTCACACGTCCCGATCAGAAGGAAAGTGTACCAAACACACCCTGCTTCGCAGAAACTCACATGTCCCGATCAGGAGGAAAGTGTACCAAACACACCCTGCTTCGCAGAAACTCACACGTCCCGATCAGAAGGAAAGTGTACCAAACTCACCCTGCTTCGCAGAAACACATGTCCCGATCAGGAGGAAAGTGTACCAAACACACCCTGCTTCGAAGAAACACACGTCCCAATCAGGAGGAAAGTGTACCAAACACACCCTGCTTCGCAGAAACTCACGTCCCGATCAGGAGGAAAGTGTACCAAACACCCTGCTTCGCAGAAACACACGTCCCGATCAAGAGGAAAGTGTACCAAACACACCCTGCTTCGCAGAAACTCACATGTCCCGATCAGAAGAAAAGTGTACCAAACACACCCTGCTTTGCAGAAACTCACATGTCCCGATCAGAAGGAAAGTGTACCAGAAACTCACGTCCCGATCAGAAGGAAAGTGTACCAAACACACCCTGCTTCGCAGAAACTCACGTCCCGATCAGGAGCCAAGTGTACCAAACACACCCTGCTTCGCAGAAACTCACGTCCCGATCAGAAGGAAAGTGTACCAAACACACCCTGCTTCGCAGAAACTCACGTCCCGATCAGGAGCCAAGTGTACCAAACACACCCTGCTTCGCTGAAACTCACATGTCCCGATCAGGAGGAAAGTGTACCAAACACACCCTGCTTCGCAGAAACTCACGTCCCGATCAGGAGCCAAGTGTACCAAACACACCCTGCTTCGCAGAAACTCACGTCCCGATCAGAAGGAAAGTGTACCAAACACACCCTGCTTCGCAGAAACTCACATGTCCCGATCAGAAGGAAAGTGTACCAGAAACTCACGTCCCGATCAGAAGGAAAGTGTACCAAACACACCCTGCTTCGCAGAAACACATGTCCCGATCAGGAGGAAAGTGTACCAAACTCACCCTGCTTCGCAGAAACTCACGTCCAGATCAGGAGGAAAGTGTACCAAACACACCCTGCTTCGCAGAAACACACATGTCCCGATCAGGAGGAAAGTGTACCAAACACACCCTGCTTCGCAGAAACTCACATGTCCTGATCGGGAGCCAAGTGTACCAAACACACCCTGCTTCGCAGAAACTCACATGTCCCGATCGGGAGGAAAGTGTACCAAACACACCCTGCTTCGCAGAAACTCACATGTCCCGATCGGGAGCCAAGTGTACCAAACACACCCTGCTTCGCAGAAACTCACATGTCCCGATCAGGAGGAAAGTGTACCAAACACACCCTGCTTCGCTGAAACTCACATGTCCCGATCAGAAGGAAAGTGTACCAAACACACCCTGCTTCGCAGAAACACACATGTCCCGATCAGGAGGAAAGTGTACCAAACACACCCTGCTTCGCAGAAACTCACGTCCCGATCAGGAGGAAAGTGTACCAAACACACCCTGCTTCGCAGAAACTCACGTCCCGATCAGGAGGAAAGTGTACCAAACACACCCTGCTTCGCTGAAACTCACATGTCCCGATCAGAAGGAAAGTGTACCAAACACACCCTGCTTCGCAGAAACACACATGTCCCGATCAGGAGGAAAGTGTACCAAAAACACCCTGCTTCGCAGAAACTCACGTCCCGATCAGGAGGAAAGTGTACCAAACACACCCTGCTTCGCAGAAACTCACGTCCCGATCAGGAGGAAAGTGTACCAATCACACCCTGCTTCGCAGAAACTTACATGTCCCGATCAGGAGCCAAGTGTACCAAACACACCCTGCTTCGCAGAAACTCACATGTCCCGATCGGGTGCCAAGGGTACCAAACACACCCTGCTTCGCAGAAACTCACATGTCCCGATCAGGAGCCAAGTGTACCAAACACACCCTGCTTCGCAGAAACTCACATGTCCCGATCGGGTGCCAAGGGTACCAAACACACCCTGCTTCGCAGAAACTCACGTCCCGATCAGGAGGAAAGTGTACCAATCACACCCTGCTTCGCAGAAACTTACATGTCCCGATCAGGAGCCAAGTGTACCAAACACACCCTGCTTCGCAGAAACTCACATGTCCCGATCGGGTGCCAAGGGTACCAAACACACCCTGCTTCGCAGAAACTCACATGTCCCGATCGGGAGCCAAGTGTACCAAACACACCCTGCTTCGCGGAAAGCACGTGCTTATATTACATTGTTTGCAGTTCATTATGCAACCTGCATATGTGAAATGTAATGGAACAGTAGTTTGTGTTATTCATACAAAAGTTTGGGGTAAATAAATGCGCTGAATTTTCATTGTTGTTTTTCGTTTAATATTTTGGATATTCTTTAATATCATTATTGTTATGTTTGTTTCAGAGTGTGATACGGAGGTTAATCGAGATCCTCCGGGCGGACATGGACTCACCTCTTGTAGTTGAGTATATTCTGTATATGCAATTATTTGAAACTGATCATCTACATAAATGTCAAGCAAAATAAGCAGAGTACAACAATATACTAGCGGAAAAAATTGGAGGGTTTCCCTACATACGTGAGCACATTCGTGACCAACTCGTGTTATTCCGGGACAAGCCGAATAGCGACTCGTGCCCCTCTCGTGGCCATTTTTGCGACCGGGTTCCGTCTTAGCGCAAACGGGCATACCTAAAACAATTGTCAACTTGTTGCGTAATGGTTCACATATATTTCCCCGTATATTATATGTATTTCAGATGCAATTTAAAGCACATCTGGATATGCGGATTCATACAGTATGCTTGAACACATTTAATTGTGTCTTTGGTATATTTTTAGATGCAAGACATATGTAAAATCGAAAGATTTCTGAGGGATTCTTTGACGGAAAAAAATGAAATCATACGCGCATTCTGATTGGTTTGTCGTATTTTCGCGTATAACATTCATCGATAGGGGGACGAGTCTTCTTGCAAGTTACGAAAAGGGGCGAGTAGTGACGAATGACGTGAGCACTGTAGACTAATCACTATAAAATAGGAGACACTTCTACAACATCAAAACTCACCAAGAATTTAGACTATAAATTCTATTCAATACAGTCCAACACCCAACCACGTGTAACAGAGCACATGTTGCCCGCCCTGCACGTGCGTCCCACGTCAACTCCTGAGAGGTGTACACTCTTTCAAAACCAAACGCCGAATCTCCGTGTCAGTCACAACTTTTCGCCTTGAATGCACCACGTGAAGACTTTCAACTCAACCGCAAATAACTGAACTAAGACGGACACCACCGATCGTCCTTACATATCTTCAAAGCAAACGAAAGCACTGGACCCTATATGTAACTATGATGTGATTTCAGCCACTGTTGCAAGAGAACGGGTGATTGGTGAGTGCTGGAAAAATCACTCAAAGGAGAAATGGGCCAACAAGGACACTTTGCGAGGTATGATCAATTTTCAGGGTATGATATTGAGAGTACACTAGATCAAAAACACACGCACTAAGCAGAATCCTGTGAATGTTAAGTACTAAGGAAACAGGCCAAGGGTCTGATACCAACAGACAAGATATAAATATGTACTTGTTACTTGTAATAACAAGAACTTAAGACATACATATTATGCAAAACAAGACCTGCAGTAAAAATTATATGAAAGTGTTCATTCAGATGAGTATACTAATTATCAAACTCATTCAATTTCATCAAATATACAGTGTGGAAGTGTCTGTAATGTGAATGTTATTTGTACTTGTAGCAGCCTTCAAGAACATTTGGATGAACAGGAGGGATGGCCATAGCCGCAGCATCACCGGGAAGAAAGAAGAACACAGGCGAGCAGCCAGGAGGAACAGCAGTGAGTGATAATTTGCTATGACAATATCAGTAGGTTTATATTGCTATTCGTAATGCAGGATAAGTATATAAATATTTAGATTTTACTAAGTTTCTTTGTTGTAACTAACATCAACCTTCTCTATTAAGATTAAGTAAGAATGTTTAGTGTAAATTATTGATAACTGCAACTTGCAATCAAGCAGAAATAACAAATCAATACTGGAGTAGATCTCTTTACCTTGCATTACAGAAACGGTAACTCGTAGCATACAGATGGCAGCAATCAGTTTTTATTTTTTCATTAATTCTGCAGAAACTGAAGTCCCGTCAGAACTCACTGGACCAGTGCCCCAAGCCAGCAGCCTGGAAGGAACGCGTACAAGATGTCCTCACCCGGGAGTGTACCTCTCCAGATGTAAGCGATGATGAGCAGCCTGGGATGAGGTGGGTCCTTGAAATGCAGTGGGAGTCATAAAGAAGTATTTAGATGAACGAACCGAGGCTGCTCTGAAGCATGTGAAAAGACCACCCAAGGCCAAGCTGGAATACGACCCGACGAGGAGATGTGAGGAGCCCATGCCGAAGAAGTTGCCGTCTTGGGCCATTCGATCCACGCACAGGAGAGATGGTATATGCCACACACTCTTTTTCAGACTTGTGGGACCAAAAAAAGTAAATTTTAATATTCACATTTGGAATAATAAAATCGTGACCTTTCATTTTGAGACCAACCATTTTATATTCTTGGGGTGGAGCTGGGATTTTGTGTGACAACTACACATCTTTTTCAGCTGAAGCTGCAAAACCAGATATTTTTTACTGAAAAACACCTAGCAACAATGTAACTTTTGTGGCAGAACATTCCCTTTTTTCAACAGTCTGGAGTCAATACTTTTTCCATAAAATCCGACACCCACACCTCTTGAATATCAAAAAGTCGGTCCCAAACAGACGTATGTTAACTTCAGTTTAATTTGATCGACATTTTTCTTTGGAAATGAAAGCAATGAATGTGGCAATATTGCAGATATCTTGAGAGGGGAACTACAGTTACAGATTTCTTGCATTGTACTTGTGTGAGCCCAGCTTATGTCATCTTTTCATCGGAGTATCAAAATGAGCTTTCAATGTGGAGGTTGTGGTATTTCCAGCTAAGGTTTGCTCGAGTCCTGCCCCAGTCAGCCAACACCCAACAGGACAAGTGAACAGTAGGTTGTAAGTATCGGATATTCATCGTAATTATATGTATATATTCCTAAAATGGATTCAAAATATTATTAATTCAAGTTTTTGTACACATTAGTCTGGCTCGGAATGTAACAAGTATGTAAAGATTAAAATGCAATCATTTCGTTCTTTGAAAAAGTAGACTGCCACAGGCACGCTCCGTTAGTTCCTACCATAAACCCTGATTGTATTTATTTAGCACTATTCACATAATCATTTGTGGACTAACACGCTTTTTTAACATTTGTTCTAACATATTCTTTTGTCATGTTGATAATGTATTGTTGACTGTCAGTCTACAGTAAGAACAACGGGGATTCCATGTAAGACAGGAACTGGATGACAGCGTGTACAACATAATATATAAGTAAAAAAAATCACACCCATCTATATACATTTAGACAATGAGTGACACCCACCATCTTGGTTCTTATTCAAGCTTTCGCACTCGGTTCGAATCACAGCTAGATATCGCATGAAATATTAATGTCATTTATTTCAACCTATTGGAACCTGCTAAACAAACCATAGACTACACAATCATGTTCATCTGTGGTCAACTTACCTCGTATTTATTTTAAACAACCATCAAATGTCAGCTCTCTGCTGCGCCGCGGAGGTAAAGAAAAAGGTGGCCGGAAGTTACGGCGCTACACGGGCTTGAACTCGGCAAACGTTTCTGATTGGTTAAAATGTGTATCATAATATAAGCAGGGATAGGTGAGGGGTTGGTTGGTTTGTTGTTTAACGCCACACTCAGCAATATTCCAGCTATATGGCGGCGGTCTGTAAATGCTCGAGTCTGGACCAGACAATCCAGTGATTAATATCATGAGCATCGATCCACGCAATTGGGATCAATGACATGCATCAACCAAGTCAGCGAGACTGACCACCCGATCCCGTTAGTCGCCTTTTAGGCTTTTACGACAAGCATAGGTTGCTGCAGACCTATTCTACCCCGGAATCTTCACGGGTCTCATGATGAGGGCAGGGAAATGTAGGACCGTCAATGAAAATCTGCTTCGAAATGTTTAATTATGCTGTAGATTTCCTTATCAACCCCAAAAATTTGCAAGCAGGCTTTCCATTGACAGTTTTAAATTTCCCTTTCTTCACTGTGTGCTAATATTTAGATCCACTATTTTTTATTTTAGCGAGTTCAAGCCCCTGTGGTGCCGTAATGTCCGGCCTCCTTTTTCCTGTTTACCCAATAGGCTATGATTGTTTTAAACTAAATACGAGGTGACAGATGAACATGATTGTGTAGTCTATGGTTTGTTTAGCAAGTTCCAATAGGTTGAAATAAGTGACATTCATATTTCATTGCGATAACAAGCTACGATTCGAACCGAGTGCGAAATCTTGAATAAGAACCAAGATGGCGGGTGTCACACCTTGTCTATATGTGTAGTTGGTTTGTTGTTTTACGCCGCACTCAGCAATATTCCCGCTATATGACGGCGGTCTGTAAATGCTCGAGTCTGGACCAGACAATCCAGTGATTAATATCATGAGCATCGATCCACCCAGTTGGGATGGATGACATGCATCAACCAAATCAGCGAGCCTGACCACCCGATCCCGTTAGTCGCCTGTTACGGAAAGCATGGGTTGCTGAAGACCTATTCTACCCCGGATCTTCACGGGTCCTATGTGTGTGTAAGAGGGGTGGGATTATTTTTCTGTACGAATATATTATGCTATATACGCTATCATCGAGATCCTGTGATGGCTTGCCCTCATCTGGCCTACACCTCATATGGCCTTCACTAAATACAAATGGTTACTTCCACACCCCTGTGGTGTAGAACGGTACTGTCAATTGATGATTTCATTCATTAATATGAATTAATGACCCGAGTACATGGGCCTTTGAACTAATCCGATGTTTTTATAGTGGTATCTGATCCTTGAGTTTCTTTTGACTGTTTATACAGGATTACTGTTTTAATCCACAATTGACAGAGACCGAGATGCAAGGATCGAGAGACTGAAGCAGCAGCTTGCTACTGGCAGAAGATCAGTGATCCAGTTTCTGGATGCAGTTGGACATCTCATCAAATTACAGTAATATTGCTAGTAATGATGTAGTGCTAATGTTATAAAACATGAAGATGATGGATATGAATGTACAGTGCTGTGATAATACATGTGTATTATGATATTTGACTTGTGAAGATGATCTCGTATACAAAATGAAATAACAGTATCAAAAGTCATTTACATTCTTTGTTGTCTGCGGAAGGTCCAGGGTTCGATCCCGGGCCGCGTCATACAAAAAGACGTTAAAAGATTGTACTTGTTGTTACCCTGTCTGGCGCTCGGCATTAAGGGGCTAAAACAAGGACTGGTCGGCTCGGAGTCAGTATACTGTGTCTGAGTGGGGTATTCATGTTAAACTGCGGCATGGTATCTCAGTGAGCTAGCACTATAAATCGGCATCAGTCCGGACTAGTACAAGCAGCCACACACACACACACACACACACACATACACGTGCATGCACGTCGCTATATAAGTGCAATAATCTTGGACGCGACGTTAAACCCAATTTCACCTCACCTCACCTTTGTTGTCTTGTTGGAAGAGTTCATTTTACTTACGGGATAAGGGTACAAGTGTGATGTGCACTCATCCATAAATTTGTTTTGATTGTGTAGGCAATACGAGGTGTAGGCCCCTGTGATGTGATGTAAGAATATAGATTCCCTGCAAGTTGGCAGCAAGCCATGCTTGCTGTAAGAGGTGATTAAATGGTTGGTTGTTTAACGCCGCACTCAGCATTATTCCAGCTATATGACGGCCGTCTGTAAATAACCGACCAGACGATACAGTGATTGACATTATGAGTATCGATCTACGCAATCGGGATACGACACGCATCAACCAAGTCAGCCTGTCTGACCATCCGATCCCGTTAGTCGCCTCTTACGACAAGCATAGTCGCCTCTTACGACAAGCATAGTCGCCTTAAACAAACTTCAACATGTTTATTCATCATTAGGACCTAGAACGTAGTAACCATTACAGATTGATAATATTACTTTCAAATATGCTATGATGGGGCTTCGCTGTATTGGGCTAGATGTAAACTTGATATAATTGAGCAAACGGAGTAACACTGCATTGTTATCATTTTGGATTTCCTCTTACTTTTAGCAATATTTCAGCATCACAGCTTGTACCCATGTGGGGAATCGAGTGAGTGAGTGAGTTGTGTTTAACGCTGCTTTTAACAGTATTTCAGTTACATCACGGCGTGTCAGCTTAATGTAGGAGGAAAGCCCGAAGTGATGCAGGTTTCAGACGTTTATCACTTCGGTGAAACCCACGAGCACGGGTATGGTGCTGACAAACCTAGAAACATAATCGGGGCGAACCGGGATTCGAACCCCCAATCATAGGTTTATGGCGTGTCTACGGGACGCAACTATGCAACTCTGCGAATCGCGGCGCCTTAGACGACTGGGCCACCCGTGCTCCCTGTGGGGAATCGAACCCGTGGCTTTGGTGTGACAGCCCAACGCATTAACCACTAGGCTATCCCATCATCCCCTTTTACTTATGTAGTTACAAGACGGGAACAGTTTCTATTGAGTAAACAGAAAGAGATTGTTATCCTCAGATGAAATTATCTGTGCTACAAATTATTATTTTCTGTCTGGGAAATGCCTCTGTTGCGCAGTGGAATATTAACAATGATGATTTTCCCTCACTGTTGTATGCGGGGAACAAAACGTGAATCTCTTCTTAAAAAAATGAAGAAATGTAAATGTGACAGAATCTAATGCTATCAACCTGTCAGTCCAGCCCTATTTTGGCTAGCATTGTTGCGTCCTGTTGCGACCTCCTATCGTAACTGACACGTTCTGCAACGTCCTACCTTGCCGAGCTATAGAACGAAATTGTTGAATGTACGTCCTAACGCGACGACATCTCAAAACCTAAGTGAACCTTACTCAACTAAGTCCGATTTTCCTCGTTTTGCACGTGCTCGGACAGCACGTGCCATGTCATAGTTTCCCCTTTTCTCCGCGAAGCAAGATGCGTTCGAGCTATCTGTTCAAGCTTAAAGGGGCACTGATCTAACGCAATTCCCCGGGACTGGTTGTTGCCTTTGTTATTGTTTTTTCCCAGTGAGTACCCGGATGTATAGCAGAAATCTAGACTTGTTCGCGACCTCTGCTGCGCTATTCGTAAGCGCATTAATCAATGGGTAGTAATAAGGGCGTATGGTCACATTGATCAACAAAATTAAATACAGTTTTCGAGATAATAAGGAAATGTAGGTATCTTTGTGGGTAGCATCGGTAATGGTGACGAAGTTTTGATAAGTCACTTGCTTGGTAATTTTGCGATTTTTGTTTACACTATTTCGACTTGCAACACAAAGTAAATATTTCACCTGAGCATTGCTTTTTTTTATAGTGTGTATATTTTTTTACTGTCAAAATGTGTAACAAATTTATTAAACGTCTAAATATTCAGTTATTTTACAAAGTGACTGAAAAACATTTCCATCTGTATTATTATGATAACGAATTCCAAACATTTTGATGTTTAATGTCATCACCAAGAGACTGAAAATGTTACGTTGAAAAGTACATGTCTATGTTGTTTGGCTTCTCATCCTACATAATAATCTGTTGTGGTGTTTTTAGGCCCGTTGGATCGTCTTAATCAATTTTAGTCAATCTGGACAGATTCTTCAGTCAAAATGCCTGAAATATTTACACATTTTATAAATTGCCTGAGAGAATAAGATTTTACAAATTGACGGTAATATATACACGCTTACAAAGGATACTTGTGAAAACAACGTCTATCGCGCATTGAAGAATTTCCCAACCAAGATGTAGAGGAACAAGAACTAATCGGTTCAAATGAAGGAAAACAAAATGCAAATACCATAATTACAACCTACCAAATTTATGTGTATAAATTTTAGGCAGCTTCCTTGTTCGAGGAACATATCCGTGAATATCCATGCACACAAAGGAACAATATCCTACTCGTCTGCAGCTGTACAAAGAAACTTATTCGATGTCACGTGTCTCTGTAACAATCGAATATTTTAAAAGATATATATCGTTTCGTGTTCGTTTCTCAACTGATCACTTAGATTGTTTCAGGTGTTTCACATAGGTGTCAAGTCTCAAGGGTCGGCTGAGAAAGCCCACGTGACAACTATTTTCATAACGTCCACGGTTCCTAAAAAATCCATTGAGTGATAGATAACAATGAGCAATCAATCAACGTATTATCAGTTAACCCTTTGAACAAAGTATGTTGTTTTTACATCGGCACTTCACGCCATGATGTGAGTGTATTCCCTTTGTTTTAGTAAACCTAGACTTGTAAACACTCACTTTTGACATATCCACTGTGCAAGATAACAGTGATTAATCAATCAACGTATTTTCTGTTAATCCTTTGATGGCTAGGAACGATCCGTTGATTTACAAAAAAAAGAAGTAAATCAACTGATCATTCATCTCTTGCTGGGATGCCACGTGCATATTACATAACACACATTTCATCTCACTTCAAACCTGGATTTAGATTGAATAATTACCCCAGACACAATAAATGCCAAATGGGAACCTTTGTCAGGTAATCTAAGTGGTGCTGCCACTAATTGTACCTGTAATAAATTCATTAACTGAGCATCAAGTGAATGACGACAAATACACAAGTGTAGGGTTATACGAGAAAACGTGGATGGTCTCTGATGACAACAAGGGAGTAGTAATGTATTATCGACGCAATCGGAAATCCGAAAATACTTTCACTGCAAGGATACTTTTGTTAGTATTAAACTATAACCATCTCGGGTATTTCCAAATGACGACATCCGATGAGCTCCGTCGTTCTTTTTTTCTGTTTGTTTAGGCTGGAGAAATTAATTAACATGCGCCCTTTGTCGAAATTTTTATAGATCACAGTTAACCAATCAGTGTTTATGCAAAAATGCGTAAAACAAATATTGCCTCCAGCCTCCAAGTTTATTTAGCTGTCCTTGCAGACGGTAGCCCAGTCTCTGGTCACGCTCAGTTGCGTTGCGTATCATCCGGGTACTCACGGGGGAAAAACAATAACAAAGGCAACAACCAGTCCGGGGAAATGCGTTAGATCAGTGCCCCTTTAACGTGTCTTCAAACCAGTCTCCATTAATTATATAAATGGCTTTCAAGATTTAATCAGACAAAAAATCGGAAAGATTGTCATTTATTGTATCATTATGTTTGTAAACGTTATGTGCCGGAAACTGACAAATCATGAGAACCCAATTTCTCATCTTTCAAGAGAAGCCATTGTGTATAGTTGATTATGAATAGTATACTCAACAACAAAAGTTCCTGTGACACCAGTATTTTAGTGTATTTTTCAAACAAGTAAAGTTTGATTCTCAATAGTGTAGTACATGTATGGAAAGTATGTAAAGTCACAAAAACGAAACTGCTACAGAAAAGCATGCATTCCATGCAAAAGTTGACTTTTATGCAAGCCCTATGCATATCACTACCCGAGAATGGGTATAAAAACATGTGCGTTAACGGGATTCCATATGCATTGTTTAGCATCGTGTTGACAACAACCACTCAGAAAAACAACAAAATAACGCAAGTATTCAACATTACGAAATGCCACGCCTGTATGCTTGAAGCAGGATCGAGTCAACGTGATGTTGCAAGACAATTTAACGTCCACAGAAACACCATTTAGTGTTTATGGCAACGTTGGCAACAGACGAATGTAGTCAGAGACAATCCTCGGAGTGGCAGGCCACGCGTAACCAATAAACGACAAGACAACTGGATTCGAACAACACCTACGAAATCGATTTCAGCCAGCAACAGTGACTGCAAGAAGCATCCCTGGCCTTCGACGAATATCTTCACAAACCGTACGTCGTCGCCTCAGATGTGCAGGGATTGTCGCCAGAAGACCCGCCAGACGTCCCACTTTTCACAGGAAACAACCGTCAAGCACGTCTACACTGGTGCAGACAGCGTCTACGCTGGACAGCCATGCAGTGGGGACAAGTTCTATTCACTGACGAGTCTCATTTTCACCTCAGCCACAGCGATGGACGGATACGAATGTACCGAC